TTTTGCCATTACTATAGGCCCAAGAAGAGAGAAAACAGGGAATATCACTGATGCTCTAACAAGCCACCTTAAATCAGGTTTCTCCAAGACTGAGCTTGGGTTGATACCACCAAGAGCACTTCACCCTGCGATCCCAACTCCATACTTTCCGAAAGCCACTCTGGACACCTCTACCTCAGTACAGAAGTGGGCATTAAGCCACAGTTCAGCAATTACTATTAGGATTTTCTATATCCTTGGGTTAAACACTAGAAAGAGAATAACTGTAAGGCTAAAAGAATGTGTTGCCCAAGAACTTGAGGGGCTAACTTCATGATCAAAAAAAAAGTTAAACTTCTCATTAAATGGGGGTGGAACCGGACAAGCTTATGACTGTGGCTATATGAAGACATTAGCTAGGACTCAGCTTATTCCTATCAGGTTCATCCACCTAGTCATTTCTGAAAGAGGTGCTATTACTAATGATTTACCAGCAAGGACTAGGCCGAAAAACACATGAATCAAGGTGTCAGCAGCAAATACATATATATCCTTTTGTAAGGCTAAACCTTATTTCAGAAGGGAAGAAGCAAGTCCGTTACCAAGCCGGCTCCTACCAATTTTTGCTGGCTCTGGGAAAAAACTGGGATTTCAGACAAAAGGTCACAGGAGTCCTCCCCATGTAGGCATATTAAAGGTAGAAAAGTCTTGGAAAGCCAGCCTTGGTATGCAAGTCCTATAAATGGAGGACGACACACAAAAAGAGAGCCATGAAAGCATCACTGCCAACCTGCTTCAAACACAATGGACCAATACAGGCACCCCCCTGCAAACCACATAATGATTCACAGAAAATACGTAGGCTGAGTAAAGTCCCACTCTACCCCATGCAAAGTATACCTAAAATGTGACACATTATCACATAGACTGAAATCACCCAACCATTCAAAAAAAAAAAAAGGTCAATAGCATTCCCCAAAGGGGGGGAATCTACCTCTCACATACACGTAGAACAACCAACTCATTTGGTTATGCTGGCTAAAAAGGTATTTTGTCAACTATGTGACAACAACATCACCAAAAGCAGGATTATCAAGCCAGTTTACAAGAACAGACAGCATAGGCATAACAAAATTTTTCAGCTAGTGAGGGGCACATAATACAGCAAACACATTCATAATCTGGTGAAATCAACAATGACAGTTAAGATCTTTCCCAAGGAAAAAGAAGTAACACATCTTTGGATCAAAGGAGTGCAGTGGAAAGGCAAGGGAGTGGAATAGTTTGTCTCATTCAATACAGTTTGAAGAAGAGAACCATTAAGCAGAACACAGGATATTCCAGTGAAGAGGGTGGAAAACACAAGAGGAAGCAAGTTACTTTTAATACAAGTTAACAGTCCAATTATTCAGTGGAACTCCCTACCACAGGATGAGCTTCTACTAACATGCAGAAACTGCGTCTTGCTCGAACAGTTGCTGAGCTACAAACTGCAGGAAGGGTACTCGGATAAGTATTATACGTGAAGAGGGCAAATGTGTAACTCTTCCCTAGGCATCTGCTTTTGGCCACCAGTACAGATAAAACCTTGAGCCAAACATACCTTTGTTCATGCCTAGCACAGTTGCTTTTTTAATTTTTTTTTTTAAGTTAGAAGCAAGCCAGTTTTCATTGAAAAAAATGAATGCAAAAGCTCTGAGTACATTAATACCTCCACTTAATTTCTTTCTTGCATTTTAAAGTCACTCAATCACTTTCAAGTCTTTAGAATCTGCTTCTTACTCTGATTCTTGGGTGCTGATGGACAATATCCAAAGCCTGCACTGGTACCAGAGACCCAAATATCCTGCAATCCACACAGCAGCTGAGACACTATTGAGTTTTCCTCTTTCTAAGCATGTGGACGTCTATAGAAGAATCCCTCAAATCACTTGCAAAGGAAAAGCTGAACACCACACATCCTGAAAGACATTCAGAATTTCAAGAGAGGCTCTGCTAGAATAACAGTTCAGTTGGAGGATGAAAGGAAAATGATCCTTTGTTCAACCTCTTCCTGCTTGACAAGAGAGGTCTCTATCACCCTGATTTGGCCTCAATATTAATTTCTGCCTTACTAATAGCTAACCAAAGCAGGTCAGAATTATTCAGCACACTAGCTGACATTTCAACACAGAGCTGAAGAACCGATTCCCCTTCATTCAGATCAATTGACAATTCAGATATCCCAGATAAAGAAAACCTGGATAACACTGTTGCTTCAACTTGATGTGGCTGTGCACATTTTATCTGGAAGTGGATAACGGACAGATGACTCCAACTTCTAGAAACAGATTTGGACCTATCCCTAGCTTTTTAAATAATTGATTACAGAGATATCAGTTCTCACCTTATCCCCACCTTACATATGTGCTAAGGACTCTGAATGCTCTCAGAAGTCACCCCTTTTATCTTCCTTCTGCCATGAGAAAGGAGATAAAGGTGATTTTGAAACTAGAAACCTCACAAAGCTTAAGGAAACCTGAACTTAGTGCTTTTTACAAGAAACTAGAACTAGGGAAGTTGTCCTTCCCTATTACAGAAAGAGTAACTTAACTGCCTGGCATTGTTGCCAAAAAGGACATCTGAGAAAACCAGACTGAGCTAGGGAGAAGTAAAGTACCACGGGGGGGTGGGGTGGAGAATCCAGCTACCCCCAAAATTGGGAAATGAAGAAAAAATTAGAAGAAGAAAAGAACTCCTCTATCACAAACCACAAGATCAGAAGTGGAACTCTCTCTCTTGTCATTTACGAGTTTAGCTTCAAGAGGTTTGAAAGCAGTTTAAAACATTGCATATTGCACTCTCCAACTCCCATTCCCCTAGTGAAGGCCATACAACCCACACTTAGGTATGGCTCATAAAACATGAGCTATTATCCATAACACAGCTTCATATACACAGCAGACTCCTATGCTCATAAGCAAACAAGTTTTATTTCTCCTTTTGCCCACAAAGGAAGAGATCAAATCAACACACTGCATCATTAGCAGACACATACTGCCTCAGATCAGCTGCATTCAAACAATGTGCTTACAGGCCTTTCCAAATGCAGGACCCCAAGATCTCTGTAATAAGAAATCTGCCTAATGCTATTACACGTCAAATCCCTTTGGACCAGACATACTGCAGTGATGTGAGATAAAATATGTATGGTAGCTAAGGAAAGTCTTTAAATCTAGAAAAACAGATATAGGAATTTGTTGGGTATGAGACCTTCATCTGCTGTTTTCCTCATGTTACAAGGAAGCACCTTCCATTGCTATTACAGTAACATCTTATTGACGCTATCAACTTTCAAAGCCTTATACCCTTAAGTAAGTTTTGTCCACTTCTTCTCTAATCAAAGTAGAAGTTACCACTGCAGCTTCAGCACTGGAGTTTGTACCAGCACTGAAGTTACAACTTGAGATCTCGGAGTTTAAGGGGAAGCAGCAAGGTCTAATTTTAAGTCTGAATCCAAAACAAGCAGAGCAGACTCAAGACGAGCCTTCCAAAACATTAAGAACTTCATGTGCACACATGCAGTTGTACCAGCATTATGTTTCAGGGTTCACTAAAATTAAGTCCATCTCCATACTCCAGAAGTTCACTGTGTTTTAAACTCCACTTGCATAAGGTCATGCTTTACTGATAGAGCTCAGGGATCAGAGAAGAATGAGAAGGAAACAGCTCAGGACCAAAAGTTCCCTTAAGGGCATCATGAAATGCCACTCCTACTTTGAAAATGAAAACAAACCCATACTCTCTGAGAGTAGTATCTGACTGATAAATTGAACACCACTTCCAGGCAGCATTGTGCCGTAAAACGTTTTTATTATCGATTTCAACACAGTGCTTTAGAGCCATATGCCAGCATTTAAATATCGACCACTTAATACAGTCTTGCTAATTGTCTTAATTTATGTGTACTAGTGCACCACTTAGAGCTCAGACAAGATCTATGCCCCTTACTACATAAGGTCCAGTCCCGTAACACTGTGGCACGCGTCAGAAAGCCCTCAGCCTGACCACAGACCTAGCAATTGTGCAAGTCCAGAATTAGGGCTGATGATTTAAAACATCTTCCTCATTTTACTTTCATCATGAAGTTCACATGCCCTGCACCCCCACTGAAGACGACCATGGCCTGTACAAAATGTTCTCTTTATGGACTACACTAACCTGTAACAGGTATACTTCCTAGAAGGTAATGTTTACTTCCAGTTAATGTAAACTGTTGGACCTCACTGTTAACTGCTTTTATGACATGATTTCTGACCACAATGACATCTCTTCTCTGCACTACGAGGCATGTTCTCTCCTGGACACATGTGTAACTTCTATCAAGTTCAGCTGTTCCACTTCACCTCTTTCCCCAGCCCACTCAGACCACAAGAGACCCAGAGCTCAATCAGCAGCTATGCCCAAATAAAAGAAAACAAAGTTACAAAGTACCAGGCACCGACTTTGATTCCTATCAAGTCCACATGCATCGCAGGAGTCCCTCACTTTCAAGAGCTACTACAATACACGTGAAACCCTTAACTTCAAGCCAACTCCGTCCTGAATTCCAGTTTCTCTCTTCCTAAACACACGTGCACCAGTTTGCAGCCTATGTGTCAAATACAGAGAAAAACGTCTGTACTTTTCGATCACACAACCTCCCTTACGCCTCCAGGATCTCCTCTCCCACTCGTTCCACCAAAAGGAAGGATCTTCTTCCATTTTATGAGGGAAAAAAAAGGAGATTTAACAGCCGCCTCCCCACAGTCTGCAGCGAAACGCTGCCGGGGAAGTGTGCTCACACTCCTCCTCCCAGCTTACGCTTGAGTCCTCCCGGCCCCCCGAGATGCCGGAGGTCCACTCCCCGAAGCCAGGGAAGCTGCTCCTGGGAAGCCAGGTCGGGAGCTGTACCCTCCCTGTCCCGACGCACTCGCTGTCACTGCCCTCGCCGGGAACGGGAGGCCGGCCCGGCCCCGGCCCCTCCCCAGCCCGGTACCCACCGGCGGCGAAGTGGAGCGGCGTGGACTTGCGGCCCGCCATGTCCTT